TCAACACCCCGGGTTAATTAGGTCCGCTTAAATTAACCTTCAAATCTTCCTAACGTTATTGAATTGGATGATTGCATACGACAACCCAAAACATTCCCCACAAGTCCCCTACATGATTGCATAATAGAGATACAAGCAAGAATCATTACGCTCTATGAAGATTATAAGTGTTGACGAGGCATTCGTTACTATGATTGCATGAAACTTATGCCAAGAATTCGTTTAACGCGATTGTTTATAAGCAACCTCCACTACTTGTGAATATAAGTTCGTAACTATTAGGTGAAACTCACTTATATTCTAGCGTCATATTCATGCATGAAAATTAAGTGTGCACTCTCAATAAACATACATAAATAAGTTATCAATCAAATAGTTAAACAAATTGAATCCACAACTTATGAAACGCAATTAGAAGTAATCAAATCAAAATGCAAGCATAAACATATATTTCGAATCCCCCCCTAGCTAAGGGGGGGGGTTTAGTTCCTCATGATACAAAACAAAGAGAATCAAAGAAACACCTAAACATTCCAACAACTCAAACTTGAATTGTATGAACGTTTAGGTCCTCTTCTCTTCCATTCCTCATTCGTACAAAACAAAGAGTATTGAAATTAAACAAAGAGAATCAAAGAAACACCTAAACATTCCAACAACTCAAACTTGAATTGTATGAACGTTTAGGCCCTCTTATCTTCCTCTTCGTTGTAGCACAAGGTCTAAGGATAGTTTGATGGTGTGAATGGTTTGGGGGAGTGGTGAAAATGGAAGGAGGAGGCCACGGCTTAAGGGAATGGTTGGTGTTTGTGACTGAAATCTGTATGGAAGAATGAATGAATGTTGTGTGAAGTGTGTATGGTTTTTATAGGGAGAGAATGGATGGAAGAGCATGTGCATGGCAGGGATTTGAATGATTATGGAGGGATGTGGCTGAAATAGCATGTGGAATGGCTGAAATGCAATGGAACCCACGGCATGGATGTTTTGTGTGTTGTGGCTGATTTGTTTTGTGAATTATGATGAATGCATGTGTTGAATTGGTGGTGCAATGATGAAATGGATGGGAGAGGGAACATGACAGCTAGGTAAAGTGAATGTGGCTGCATGTTTGAATGATTAAATGATGCATGTGGGTTGGAAATGCATGTGCAATGATTCTTTGGTGCTGAAAATGCATGTGTAAGCATGTGTTGGCTGAATTAAAGAACGTGAGGGAATGATGAAAGGGGAAACATGACAGCTAGGTTGGTTGGTGGCTGCCATGGATTAAAGGGTGAATGCATGTGGCTGATTTAAGTGAATGATTATGGGTGATTATGATAAGTGATAAGTGGTGATGATAAGTGTATGATATGTGATTATGATAAGTGATAAGTGGTGATGATAAGTAATGATATGTGATTATGATAAGTGATAAGTGGTGATGATAAGTAATGATATGTGGGAGTGTGGCTGAAATGAAGGAGTGGAATGTTGGAATGTTATGCACGGCTAAGGATATAGGAAAGGTTTAAATGTCCTAAAACTAAAGGGAACAAGGTTCCAACACTTTGGTCTTCAATTAGGTCTTCAATTTCGTCCAACACTTTGGCTCCAAGCATAGGCTATCCATCCTTAGCCCAAAAGTGCTCCAAAAGTCTCCAAAATGCATCTTTTTGCTCCTTTAGCCCTTTGGACCTACAAACACACGAAAATAGCTTAAAGTACTAAAATAACTAAAGAAACATAACGTAAATGCACGAGAACAAGCCATTTAAGTCGCATGAATATGCTCCTATCATAAAGCCAGTAAGATTTATGCATATTGAAAACTTGCATTTTGAACATTATGAGTAGATTATTTAAATCTAATTCAACTACTAGCACTAGCTCTAGATCTAGTTTATGTAGAATTCCAGACAGTAAATGAAGAACAAAAATTAGAATTTCAAACGAATGACAGTGTCGACTTTGGAGATTGGAATATCCCTAATGTTTCTAGTAAAAACATTTACAAAAAGAAATGGTCAGTAGCCTCTTTTAGAAGTGAACATCACGTCAAAACAGTTGAAAAAGTTTATGCTCTTGGTAAAGAACATGACACTTGTCAATTATTCACACCAAAACAAATCAAAACTCATAGAAAAGATGGTTACAATTACATTCACATAGGTCTAGTCCAAATAGCAGTCAAGCCCTTAACAAGAAGATACCTCAATACCTTTATTTTGTTATGTCTTAGAGATGTAAGATTCACTGACTTTAGTGATAGCATTCTTGGAATGATTGAGTCAAGTCTTTACGACAGACCAATTCATTTTGATTGTTTCCCATATCTCACAGTAAGTCTTTCAGACCCCCACATGCTGAAAGCAGTCACATTAAATATAAAAACTTCAGGGTATCAAGTCCTTGAAGGAGTCCAACCATTAGCCTTAATTTTCGGAGTTTACTACAAAGTCACAGGAACAAACATGAATTTCTAAGCCTTAGTCAAAAGTCCTAGAGACTATACACTACTAATCCAAACTAATCAAGAAAACGCCAACATCAAAATACCCAAAATCATTAGGTGGTCAAATATCAGTTTGTCTTCAGATTGGTGTTTGATTAATGAAAGCAAACCAGTAAGCATACAAAATAACTCAGTCAACTTAGATAGCATAGAACAATATTTTGACATAACAGTTAAAATCAACTTTGACCGACCAGTCAGAAAATCAAGTGTTCACCTTTATGAATTAGCCCAGTCACACAAATCATTAGAACCAAGTAGGAATTCTTTTTCTAGATCCACATCAGCCAATATGGTGGGTCGAGATCAAGATTTAATCAATTCCTTAGCCAATAGAAAATTAAAGGCTGTAGAAACTAGCTCAACAGTCACCCAACAAGAATCAATCATTGACCTGATTAACATAAAACTAAGGTCAATAAAAACAGCCTCTCAGGTGACTCACCTAAGATATCAACCCAATACTCAAAACTAAGGAGAACAAACCTCCTCAACAAAATTCGAAGCAAGTCAAATCAGCCACCAATTATTAGTCTTAAATAAACCATTCAAACCCCGATGGAAGAAACTCAATGCTCACATCGAAGCAACAGAAAATATTCCCAGAAGATTATTTTTCAAAATAAATATACAAAAGAACAAAAATTGGACATTTACAATAAATGGACCAATTTCATGAAAAGGCACAGATTTGAAGTATTTTTCTTCGATTTCATTGAAAAATATTATGAGTCTGAAAAGAAGTTAGAACTCATCACCAAAGAAAATTGGGTTAAAGAAGACAAAACCATAGTCTCTTCTAGCCACCCTCCACAAGAAACAATTTTAATTACAATTGCAAACACAGAAGATTCAGGAGTCAAGTCAGTCATCGAACAAAACAATTTCACAAACCAGAGTTTCCACACCATAGGAAACAATTAGACATAATTGAAACCAAAATAGATAGACTTTCTCAACCAAAACCAATAATTAGGGAAAAACCATTAGTCAACTTCCCAGAGTTTGCCTCTAGCACAATCGCTTTGAAAACAATTTCCACAAGTCAAAAAATAGACCAAATGTTACAAGAGTTAAAACAAGAAAAAACAGTCAACGTTTTACAACACCTAGATGAATCTGGACCAGAAACAATTTCTACAATATGGGATTCAGTAGGCGAGAGTGAAACAAATTCCATCAGAAAAGTAGAAGAAGCTTTTCAAAATCCTGAACTCAAACGAATCACAAACAAAAGAGTCAGCCCAACAACTCTTACCAAAAATTGGTATCCCAGGCCAACACCTCCGGATGTTCAATTTGCGGAAAGAAACATCCAAAATCAAATCTCAATCTCAACTGATAAACTCTATGAATGGAACATAGATGGATTATCAAAACAAGAACTTTTGAACAAATTACAACACATCTCCATGGTTGCTAATAGTTATATTACCAGTCATAACCTCAGTCAAACACAAGTTGTCGACCTTTTGATCATTGGATTTACAGGAATGCTCCATTCTTGTGGGGATGTCCGACCCTAAGCGATTTTAAATGGTACAAAGATGTTTTCATGTCTAGAGTCATGCTTAGAGAAGATAGTAATCAACCATTTTGGAAAGAAAAATTCATTAATGGATTACCAAATCTATTTGCCCATAAAATTAGAAATGTTTTAGTTAATAAAGAATGTATTATACCATATCATACCTTTACTTATGGAAATATTATTAATATTATCCAGAAAGAAGGATTGAAAATATGTATTGATATGAAAATTACAAAGCAAGTCAACAAAGACAAGTCAATAGCCAAATACGAATTAGGAACATTTTGTGAACAATACAGATTACCTCCTATTGCTCCATCTAACAAAAAGAAAAAAAAGCAGAAGTATACAATAGGTACCCAAATAAGTACTCAAGTAGGAGACATTCCAAATATAACAAATTCAAAAATAAAAATTTTGAAATAAATAAATTTTACGAGAAACCCAAGTCTACCAAGTCGAAAAGGAAACCCTCAGGAAAATTCCACTCCAAAAATCAAGAACAAAAAGGAAATTGCTACAAGTGTGGCAAATTTGGTCATTATGCAAACAAATGTAGAGTCAAGAAAACAATCAACCAAAACTGCAACAGTTTGGGTCTTTTACGACTTGAAATATACGGCTTACAATACTGGCATGCCTTAAATGATATTATTCATGACATTCGTAAAGTTCATGTCGTAATACTTGCACATAATGTAGCATTCAAGGCATCACTTTTGTGCAAGTCATTAAATAAAAATATTTGCGCTTAAGTGTTATGTGTTGTATTTGACAATTTACACGACGCATTTTCCTTCTTTTTTTAAGGCATCACATTATGTCGTAAAGTGAATTTTCTATATATTTGAGTCCCTACTTTTTATGGCACAAATGACACATCGCAAATAATGGCTTCTAGCTTCGCGCCTAAACTTTCCCACTCGACACTTGACACTTTTCTCCATTTCCTTCTCAAGCCCCCCAAATAATGGCACCAGTAATTGCAACGTTTTCTATAAGCCCCCCAAAAAAGCTAAAAAAATTGGTGCTAAATGAAAATTCAAAATGATGGTAAAGTCGGCCTTTTTCCATTTCCTTCTCAAACCTTCCTTGCCTCTTCCATCTCGCAGAACCCTCGAGAACGATACAGGCAGTCTCGCCTCTATCTCATTTCTCTTGCCTCCGTCATCTTACTCCTCCTTTCTCTGTCTCTGGAATCGATCGATCTATTTGAAGAGGATCGACAGTTCTGAAATGGTGTTTAGATGGGTGGGGGTTGTGCGTGTGCGGTCCAGCTTGATGATCGTGGAAGCCATCGATTCTGCTTCTACGACATAGCCTCAACTCTGCTTCCATCTCCATTTTCTCTCCTCGCTTTCTCTCTCAGAAATCACCAACGCCAACACTGTGTTGCTCAAAAACCACCAAGCTGTTTGAAATCTCTTCGATTCTCTCTCTCATAAACTACGAAGCACATCGACCTCTTGCTGAAAAACCGTGAATTTGGTCCCAATTCGAAGGAAATTTTAAGCCCAGAAAAGCCTTGGTTTCCTGGTGAGTTCTCAGGCCGATTTGGGCTAGGTAATTTTGTGATTTGTAGTTTATTTTGGGAAATGATTGATGGGTTGTAGTTCATATTATGATTTATAGAATATTAGCATGTTTTTTTTAATTTAGGATTTTTTTTACTGCTTATTTTTTGGGTTTTGTCTAATTTTTGTGGTCTGCTTTATAGATTGTTCTCTTTGGAAGCTTCTTTCTAGCCTTTAGCTTCTTCTTGTCGTGCTCATTGAGTATTGAAGGAGAATTAAAACACTGGTGTGTGTCTGTGTGTTTTGTTAACATAAGAGAGATTTCTGTTGGCCTTTCAGATTTCGGCATGGGAAAGTCCACTTATTTGTCTAATTAGATTGCGCATGCCTTCGATTCTTTATTTAATTGTTCTGTTTGCGTTCGGCTATGATGATCTAAATTTTATATGTTTGGAATTATTCACTTAACACCAATTTGTTACATTCAGGTCTCCACCCCACATTTCACAAGTTCAAATTCCATAGAAGTTGGTTCTGCAGATTGTGTCTGCAATTAGATCAGAGATCAACCGCTCTTTTGTTATCATGCAAAAGATTGCTTTTGGGAAGGAACTGAAGTAGTTACTCTCTGTATGTTTATTGTCATGTAGCTTTGTCTTTTCTAATTAATGGTGTTCATGTTACACTACAATTCATGATGATGAATTAATTGTTTCTTGATTTGTAATTGTTTGTAAATAATGTGGCATATTTGAATTGCAATCTATGTTTCTATGAAAGGGTTGGCATATCATGTTGCTGACTTAATTGTTTATGTTTTTCATATTTTCGATGGTGTTATGATCGATTAGGTGATTGCTGACCTGTGACTTTGCTTAGAGCTCAAATTTTGTGAGCATTACATTGGATTGTATTGCACTTGGTTTGATGTTGTTTTGGTCGACAATGAAAGGACAGGAGAAACAAAGAGGATGACACTTATAACTGCCCTTCCCCATCGGCCTTCTTCAAATTTGGATCACAAGAAGGGAGCAACATAGGTATTGATTCCGTCTTCATTTAGATATGGTTAATGTAAATAATTGGACAAAAGAGCCAAACAAACCCTTTTCTCTCAAATGGAGGCGATGATGTGGTCGACGGCCACCAGCCCCAACTCAAGAGTTTGGCCTTCTGTATAATCGGGTTATAAGATAATTTTATTTCGGTCCATTTCTTTTTTCCTTTATATAAGTGCAGATGTTGTGATGTTTTGAATGAAGGGTGATGAAGGGTGGTTCACACACTTTCTCCTTACTTAGAGCAAGTGGAGATGACGGTTTGTGTAAAAATAAAAACTTACCAGGTACTTCAATTTTCTATTTTATTAATTATTGTTTGGTTTTTGAAATGTTGTATTCAGAGAAGAGAGAGACCAATTGTCCTTGAGAAACAAGTTTCTTTGTCTACATTTCGAGAATTTGCGGTTTGCAACTTTCATTGTTTATTATATTTGATTGAGTTAAACTTAGATTTCTGGATTTTGACTTTCTCGTTTGTTTCTCTATTGTAGAGTTGGCTTCATTTCATTCTAGTAACTCTCTAAATAGGTCCAAGAACTCACTAAATAGGTAGTCAAGAAGAATTCAGTGTTGCCTTCCTTTTTTGCCTGCTGTTTACTCTCTTCCTGGTTGCACTCTCACCGCTTCTGTCGCTCACCACTTTTCTCTCACTCACTGCTTCATCTCTTTTGTTGCTTACAATCATCGCAAAAAAAATTCGAACCCTCAAACCAACATATTCATTTCGACAGTTTCTCTCACAATTAATCTAACCTTGAAACCAACAAATTGCAAAAATCCTCAACTGTTGGATTCTGTTGAGATAGGCAGAATTTGATTGGTGTCTTCATCATCGACCGACACCCAGACTGCTTGGTAGTCATGATTAGTTTCTTCTGTCAACTTTAGGATGTGCATCAATTGTAAAGAGGAACAAAACATTTTTTGTTTGTGTCAACACTTCCAATTGTACTATAATTGACAATTTCTACTAATTAATTTAAGTATTTGGAGTTTAATGTGTTAGTGGTGATTGTTGTTATCTTTATATTGTGTTCCTTACAATATTAATTTAGATGTTATGAAGTTTTACCAATTCACTTATTTATTCTATTTCCTTTTACTATTTTTCAGGTAGCATTCAAGTCTTTGGTGAATTTTTAAATGAAGAGGTTGCAAATGCAGCGGTAATGAGTGGAAAAGTTTATACTTAATTGTATTAGTATTAAAGTCTTTATCAATTTCTAAGTTAACATTTTGTTTTCACTAGCTCTTAATTATCTTGGGAACTTTATCCATTCCCAGCACCTAGTTTCCAAAGACGAAGTTGAGACAAGTTGGGAACTCTCTCTTTCTCTCCTTTTGTTTTAGTTCCCAAGAAAGTTGATTGGATTGAAGAAAATGGAACAAAAAGAAATGAAAAAAATTGAAATTTGTTGGTGCTTCTGTTGATGCTTAATTTGTAATATATTAAGACCCAAAAACTAGATAAATGGCTAACTTTGATGTAAATTGATAACAGCAAGCCACTAAATCAAAAAATAGTGAGTCTTACCTTAGAGTCCTTGGGGATATCATAATTGATAACCATAACCACATTTTGTATGACAATGATTAGGTTTTTTCAGTATCACCTTTCTTACTTGAGATTAAATGTGTATTTCTACATATAGCAATGCAATAGATTTTCTATTATTCCATGTGCTTATGTCTATGCAGATAGAGATAGCAATTAGTGTGGTTCAAGCATTAGGAGCAGTATTTCACTCTCAAAGGACTTCGTTTGGAGGTGTTCAAGGAAAAGTGAAGTCTTTCAAGTGAAGTCTTTCAAGTGATAAATTTCTTTGTTATTAGAGGCCTATTTCGTATTTCATGTGTAGTTTGATATTGACTTTAGCTTTGTTCAACTTGTAATACATTTTGACGATATGATCATTTATGAAATTTTGTATTATGGTAAATGGTAATTTTGTCGATTCACACACACACACACACACACACACACACACACATATATGTATGTATTAATAGAAAATTAATAAATGTAAAATACCTTTTGCAAAATCTACAGTAATTGTTGATGTTAGTCTTCATTTACGATGTACAACGTATGCTGTAATTGCTTTCACAGTATTACGACATTCAACAAACGCCGTATCAAATATAAATTACGGCACACATGTATGCCGTAATTGTTTTCATAATATTACGACATTTCATCAACGTCGTATTTAATTTCAATTAAGGTGCGCAAGGCATGCCTGAAAGGGCATTTACGACGTGTTTTGCTTAAATTATTCACAGCCACTAGAGAATGTTGTATTTGACCAAACATCTTTTACGACAGGGGCTTTTACTGCTTGGGGGCTTACGCCGTGAATAACCGTTTACGGCACTTTTTGTGCGGCGCAAAAGACCAATTATGTTGTAGTGCAATTGAAAATCTCTGAAGAAGAGAAAACTCAACTAATCCAAGTCTAAGAATTAAGAGATACAGACCATAGTCAATCCGAAGATGATTTAGATTCTAATTCGCCTTCTTCCAGTAATTCCCCAAGGAATCTTTCATCCCCCGACATTAAAATAGGATACACTAATACTTATTGTAAAACGATTTCAGTCCTTAATAAACAAGAAGAACAAGAAGATCATCTTATCTAGTTAATCAGCAAAGTAGATGACCTTGAATTAAAGTCATTTTATTTAAAAAGACTTAAGAAGTTAGTCTCCCCTGAAGAAGCCAGTACTAGTCAACCCCCAGTGGCCCCAAAAATCTGTCTTAACATAACCTTGGAAAGTTTTAATAAAGCTAAGAAAGAAATTATAGTCAAAGATCTACAAAGATAAGTCAATAAGATTAAGGAAGAAATTAAGTCCTTAAAATCAGAAAACATAGAAATTCACTCACATTTCAATAGTATCCAAACACAAGCACTCCTTGGCAATAATGATGAAGGACACAATAATTCTTCCTCCGATCAAGAGTCAAAATCCAAGTCCATAGAAAACCCAACAAAAAACCTAGTTTTAGGATTACTACAAAAAATTAGGATCCAGAAATGGTATTCTAAAATAAAAATAATAATTGAAGACTTCTAGTTAGAAACAATTGCCTTAATTGATTCAGGTGCAGACTTGAATTGTATTCAAGAAGGTTTAATTCCCACTAAGTATTTCCACAAATCAACAAAAATTCTTAGTGTTGCAAATCAGTCACAAATGCAATTAAAATATAAAATCCCAAAAACCCATGTCTATCAAAATAATGTCTGTTTTAAAACTCCATTTGTTTTGATAAAAAAAATTTCAAACCCAGTTGTGACATCCCGTCCCGGAGTTATCGGAACCGTACGCGTGAAATTACCATTTTACCCCTAGTTATTTTGTTATGTTGTTTGGTTGTTTGTGTGGTGTTGGCAAACTTTGGGCCACACACACACACACACACACACTGTCTCACTCACCCTCACCCTCTGTCTCTGTCTCTGTCACTCTCTCCCTCCCGTGTCTCTCTCTTTCCCCTTCTTCTTCACCATATACGTACGGACACACACACACACACCCTAAAACGTCACAGATCGAGGGATCCAAGGCTACCATTGAACTCGTGGAGCTGAGAGGAGTCTAGTGGTGCCATTTTCAGGTAAGAATCTCGACGTTTTCACGTCGATTTCACGAGGTCTGTTTTGGGTCACTATTCATGCAAACCTAATCTAGGATGTTTTTGGACATTTTAAGCTTGTAGATGTGTTAGTGAGGTTCCCAGGAGCTTGGGAGTGCTTCGTTGGGTGAATTTGGACGTCGGGAAAGCTTGGTTCAAAGTTGGCCGAACTTGGATCGTTGTTGCAGGTGAGATTCTTTGATTTTTTTAGGCCTTAAAACTAGTCTAACGTGAATCTACTAGTCTTAAGCTTCATTTTGGTATAAAGAACGTGAAAAATGGTTGAAAAACGAGTGAGAAAACAAAGTTGGAAAAATTTGCAGTTTTCCGGCGACGGCGGCGGCGGCGCCGGCGGCGGTGGCTCGCCGGAGAAGACAGGGGAATATTCCGTTAAGGTTAACGGAATATTCCTAACTGACAGTAACGGCGTCAGTCAAGGTTAACGGAATATTCCAGGGAATATTCCTGACGGCGTCACTTGACACCGTCAGTGTGCAGGTCACGTGGCCGCGCGTGGGGTCACGTGGCCGCGCGTGGGGGCGCGTGGACCCGTGCCTGTGCTGGCGCGTGGGGGTGCGTGACGTGTCCAAAAATTATTTTAAAAATATGGTTGTGATCGTGAGGTTGTGTAGATCACGTTGGTATATTCATTTGTCCATTTTGAGCAATGTATGGGAAATTATTTTGAACGGACGGTTATGTGCTTTAAAGTTAACGTTTTTGTAGTTAATTCGCATATAGGTGACACGTATCCCGAGGACGAGCGTGCACATTCGAGGCAGGGGGGCTACGACCCTTCTACTTACCAGTGAGTGGGCTTTTGTTTTTCGTATATACCTATATACATGTTATTTCCCAAAAATTAGTATAAATACCTTGTTTTACGCCGTAATTTTATATGATTGATGACTATGCATGATTAGTGGCATATAAGTGGATTTATATATTTATTCTTACGTCATTTACATATATGTTGGTGCTGCGGCGGCCTAGGTAAGTGCCAGGTAAGCGTTGTTTTACATTCGCATTAAATAGTGGTTCGAGGTGCTTAGAGAGCTCATAACCTGCACCCCCGGTGTTAGTGCTCCCGCCCAGAGTAGGGCACAGTCTTTCACGTGTTGTTCACCTCCCGCACCACACGCTCAGCTTGAATCCAAGTTAGGTGCACAGTCCTGTCGTACAGACCACTATAGGTGGTTCCGACTTGTAGGTGACCCGCAATTATTCGCACAGCCTTCACGTGATCGTAGCACTAGAGCGTTATATGTATTACACCCAGGCTTGTCGTACAGACCACTATAGGTGGTTCCGACTCGTGGGCAGGTTTAGGGAATGAGTGGTAAATTGAGCTCTAGGTTCAGCCGTACAGGTCACTTAAGGGACTTCGGCTGTCATTTTATTATTCTATTGATGTGCTATACATACCTGAGCATTTGAATGTTATATTGGGGCCTTGAGCATGTTGGCATACCCTTGATTATACTTGGCATATTTATACCTACATTTATATGTTTATTTTCTGGGAAGTATACAGGTTTTACGGCGAGGGGTTATTTTACGTTTTATGAAATGGTTTTCTAAGAGATTTGTTTTGCCCACTCACGCTTTTGTTTTTGCGCCCCTCCAGGTTCTAGTAGCTTAGCGGGTTCGGTGGTTTCCCCAGGGACGTCCCGGCATTCTGACAGACCTCCACCTATGTAGGGTCGCCTACGGGCGCACTATTGTCGTAACATTTATTTCTGGGCTGCTGTATACCTTAGGCTCTGAATTCAGCGTTTTAATTTCACTAGCACATACCCTATTACTCTATAGTTGCTAGTTTTAAATTATTCGCACTTTTCTATTACTGTTTCTAGCTTCCGCACTGTGCACATGGCTACGTCACTTCCACGTGGCGGCCAGCATGCCCCGATCTCGGTTGGGGTGTGTCACAGTCATTTTAGGTCTCCCCTTCATAACTCTCCTATATCCTTTTAAGGTACACCATAATCGTATAACCACCAGAATGTTAGGACAAAAAATCACATTTGAGTTCTACACGGAAACAAATCTCAAAAAATTAAGACAATTACAAAAAGATAGCATCTCAAAAACCATCAATCTAGTTACAAAAAAATCAAAGCAAATTAATTTCTTAAAAGAAGAAATTATTTACAAAAGAATTGAAGAACAATTAACAAACAAATCTTTGTTACAAAGTATTGACAACTTTCAAAAGAAACTTGCTAATGAAATTTGTCCGGATATTCGCAACGCCTTTTGGCATAGAAAACAACATACTGTTAAACTTCTTTACAATAAGGAATTTAATGAAAAGAAAATACCAACGAAAGCCAGACCAATCCAAATGAGTCAAGAAGTTATGGAATTCTGCAAAATAGAAATCCAAGAACTTCTCAATAAAGGAATCATTAGGAAAAGTAAATCATCATGGTCTTGTCCTGCTTTCTACGTCCAAAAGAACGCTGAATTAGAAAGAAGAACTCCCAGGTTAGTCATTAATTACAAATCTCTTAATGAAGTCTTGGAATGGATAAGGCATCCAATTCCTAATAAAAAAAGCATTAATTAAAAGCTTTAATAAAGCTGTAATCTTCTCAAAATTCGACATGAAGTATGGATTTTGGCATATTCAAATTCATGAGGATGATAAAAATAAAACAACATTTGTCACTCCTTTTGGTCATTATGAATGGAATGTAATGTCATTCGGTCTTCAGAATGCCCCCAATGAATTTCAGAATATCATGAACGAAATATTTAATCAATACAGTCATTTCTCAATTGTTTATATTGACAATGTTCTCATTTATTCCAAATCGATAGATGAGCATTAGATACACTTAAACATGTTGGCTAGGATAATTAAGTCAAATGGATTAGTAGTCTTAGCAACCAAAATTAAGTTATTCAAACCAAAATTAGGTTCTTAGGATACAATATCCATCAGTTAACCATTTAACCAATAGATAGAGTAATTCAATTTGCAAATAAGTTTCCAGATTTGACAAAACCTAATTATAGAGATTTCTAGGATCTCTAAATTATGTTGAAGAATTTTATCCACATCTTAGACAACAATGTAAACCCTTATTTGATCGTCTAAAAGAAAACCCTTCATCATGGTCCAATACTCATACTTCCATAGTTAAACAAATCAAATCACATGTTAAGGCTTTGCCCTGTCTTGGCATTCCAACTCCTAATTCCTTCAAAATTGTTGAAACTGATGCCTCTGAAATTGGTTACGGTGTTATTCTCAAACAATCAATTTTTTCCGGATCTCTTGAACAAATTGTTCGTTTCCATTCAAGAGTATGGAATCAAACACAAAGTTATTATAGTACTATTAAGAAAGAAATATTATCTTCTATAATATTATGTATTAGTAAATTTCAAGATGATTTATTAAATCAAAAGTTTTTAATTAGAGTTGATTGCAAATCTACAAAACATTGCATCAAAACAGATTTTTGCACGATGGCAAGTTATATTAAGTATTTTTTATTTTGAAATCGAATACATCAAAGGTAGTCAAAATAACATCCCTAATTTCCTAACCAAAAAATTTCTGCTGGGGAAGAATGATAACAAGAAGACTTGATCAAAGGAGGCTTCCAGCCACTCTACCACCACTACCAGTAAAACAAGAATCAAGCCCAAATTCTTAATCGGTCTTAGCCATTACCAACCGTTTCACTCCCTTAGGTTCCACAATAGGAAACCTTAGGCCAAACTACCAATCACCACGTCCCAATTATAAAAAAGGATTAATAAGTCAATATGATCCTTATTCAACCCCAACATACCAATCATCATCATCCCAACCAATCAGCTATACCAAAACATCACCATACGTCAAGAAAAACCCTAATGAATATCTTTTAAGTATCCCTTTCAATCTCAATCAAGAACAAGCACCAGAAAAATTAGCCAAAATAGTCTTTCCACCCAATTTTCATTATCATCCTACATAATCACATAAAACACTGAAATACTATCAATTCATCCTAAGTGAAACCGAGTCCATTTTAATCAAGCCTCTCTACAGCAAAACCCATGAAAATAAAATCCTATTCTTTTTACATTGAAAGGTTTTTAACCGAATCAGATTGGGGAATCCTCCTTTACAAAAGCAAACCCCTTCACACCCAATATATCCACATTCTCAATAACCATTATAATTACTTTGATTACATTGATGCATGAACTAACATCTTTCTCCATCAAATAGAAGATTTTAGTCATTCATGGTTCATTAATTTTGACAAAAGTTTCAGATTGAATTTTCCTGCATGGTTCCCAAAATGGTGGCCAATTCACGGCCCAACAGCCAGTCTCCTACCATAAGAGCTCATGTAGACCCTCTTTGCCAGCTTCAAGTAGAAATTTGAAAGAAGCCGATTCAACTACAGAATTACACATCTCCCAATATTCATGGCCAAGTACAAAGTCCCATGGATCATGAAGTGGAATTATGAAGTCAAAACAGATGAAGTCTACAGAGCCAAATCAGTCAAGTGGTGGGATAAATTCAACTATCAGAAGACCATCAGTCAGGTCCTTACCGAATTTCCCATTACTCCACCTCTAGTCATTCTGGCATAACCAACACGGCCATCAATGCCAGTCATCCCGAAACAATCATTATCGGACATTAGTCCATCTTCATCCCTTAAAGGAACAGTCAAGTCTTCCAAATTGTCAAGCTCAAAGAAAAAGAAAGCAACACAGCTCGAAGATTTAGCACAACAATTACTTGCAGAAACAGCGATGCTCTATACTAAAGAAGCAGAAGCCGCAGACTCCGAATCTTCAGACGCATCCTCACATCAACCATCCAATTCAACAAGCCAAAAAACATAGTCAGCCAAGTAGGCCGATTATCAAAATTCCCAGGACCCATTTGCATAAGAGTCATGTGAAAATTTTAGTCATCTTTCCAAAATCAACCATGTGAAGTGTTCAGGTGTTCAAGCATTATTCGCACCAATAATTCCATGGAATTATTCAGTTAGGCAACACTTTCTCGCCAATTATTATGACAAATTTTGGAGTCATTCAATCATCCATCCCGTGCTTCCACAATAAAAACAACAATTATTCCAACAATTTTCAATGTTCATTAATAGTGAAAAGCAAGTCATCATTGATCAAATAGTAAAAACAAGTCTTCCAAGCTCTTTTCCAGGTCTATAAGAAGTGGACTACGGAGGAGAAAAGGGGAAGTTTGGAATTTCCACAATTTCTCAATCAAAAGTTTCTTTGAGTTCACTGTACCCAAAGAAATAAAAAATTGTAAACACTTTTAATTTTAGAATGTCAAGGATGCCTGCGTGCACCAATATCCTTTTCATCAGTCATTTTCTCATTTGCTGACTTAATCGTCAGTAAATTAATTGTAAGTTTTAGTGTAAATTTTGCAATAAAACTTATTTTCAAATTATATTTGCATCATTATTTTGAATTCATTATTTTCATTATAAAGAATATTTTCATAAAAACTGATTTTGAATGGCATAAAATCCTTATTCACAGTAAATTCATCAACTACCTCAAGTTCAAGGTAAACACCGATTAATCATTTGTTCAATTCTTTCTATTTGTTTATAACAATTGGTTTCATGGAATCTTTAATCCTGATTATCCTCCACATCAAGTTCCACATAACTCAATTAACAATTCATTTAACAGTTCATCCAATCCTAATCATCATTGCCCTTGGTATTATTGTCCTCATGGTTATTATTATCACTAGTTTCGCCCCATATGCTAACTTTATTATTATCACTAGTTCTGCCTCATTTGGTATTGTATATGTATAGATATTGTATATATATATATATATATTGTATATGTTTCATATATTTGTCAACATATATGTATCAGAAAGAAAATATAAATATAAGGTGTTCATGTATCATGAAAAATGTTTTCATATATATTGTATATGTTTCATATATTTGTCAACATATATATATCAGAAGGAAAATATAAATATAGGGGGATCATGTATCATGAAAAATGTTTTCATGTTTCGTAGATGTTTCAAATATCTTACTTTATTTTAAGCATACCTGATTGGCAGAAAACAAATAAAAGTCTTTGAATTTTGTAGAAGAAAGCCTCATCCAACAATCCTTAAGTTCTTTAGCTTCTGACAAAAGTGCGATGATAATGTGTTTGTAAGCCTAATTTACTGAACTATTTTTAGAGAATAGAGAGAAGAGGCCGGCGACAATAAGAGAGAGAAGAGAGATTTAATTGTGAGATATATTGTATCACCCCATTATTAGGATAGGTTAAATTCTTAGCATAATAAGAATACAATTCTAATAGAATAATATCTAACTTAAGGAATATTCAAACAGATACACATTAATATTCTAAATATAATTACAACAAAAATATGTATAACCCAAACAAAAATATATATAGACCGAAGGTTCCAGAACCCCAAACAAAACCCACTTTCACTAGAAGCCTCTGGTTCCTTAAACAAACTATTGATCTATCTTATATTAAGCTCGCCCTTTCGTCTTTTCCTCAATCCCCTCAACCCGCAATCCCTCTACTTTCTGTAGAATAGGTTTCTTCAATCGCCAAACAGCCATGGCCGACGAAGCCAAAGCCAAAGGCAACGCCGCTTTCTCCTCCGGTGACTTTACCGCCGCCGTCAACCACTTCTCTGAAGCCATCGACCTCGCTCCCACCAACCACGTCCTCTACTCCAACCGATCCGCCGCCTACGCCTCCCTCAACAAATACTCCGAAGCCCTAGCCGACGCCAATAAGACCGTCGAGATTAAGCCCGATTGGTCCAAGGGCTACAGCCGGCTCGGCGCCGCTCACTGCGGATTGGGCCACTACAACAACGCCGTTTCAGCTTATAAGAAGGGTCTCGAGATCGACCCCAATAACGAGGCTCTGAAGTCTGGTTTGGCCGACGCTCAAGCCGGTGCGGCCCGCTCCCGGGCTGAACCTCCCCCCATGAACCCGTTTGGGGATGCGTTCTCAGGTCCTGAGATGTGGGCCAAGCTCACTGCGGACCCGTCGACCCGAGCTTTCTTGCAGCAACCTGATTTTGTGAAGATGATGCAGGAGATTCAGAAAAACCCGAGCAATCTCAATTTGTATCTGAAGGACCAGAGGGTTATGCAAGCCCTTGGGGTTTTGCTCAACGTGAAGTTACACGGTGGAGCGGGGACGGAGGATGAGGAGATGCCAGAGTCTCCGCCGGAGCGGAAGCAACCTGAGCCCCGGAAGGAGGAGAAGAAGCTGGAGCCTCAGCCGGAGCCAGAGCCAGAGCCGATGGAGGTGAACGAGGAGGAGAGGGAGGCGAAGAAGAGGAGGGCCGAGGCAATAAAGGAGAAGGAGGCTGGCAATGCGGCTTATAAGAAGAAGGACTTCAACACAGCGATTCAGCGCTACACTAAGGCCATTGAGTTGGATGATGAGGACATTTCGTTTATCTTGAATCGCGCTGCGACGTATTTGGAAATGGGTCAGGTATGGATTGCATATCTAGTGTTTGCCATTTATTTTTAAGCTGCATAATAATGTTTACACTTTGATTGGTAGTATGGTTGACTATAAGCTGCTACTGTTTGTATAATTTAGTGTTCTTTGTGGATACGCTGTGATGTTTATTGATTTAGATGAAGCTGCTCGATGCTGTAACTTTAATGATGATGTTACAGAAAACGAGCTAGCTCAATTTAGATTGATGTATAGACCTAGCCCCATAAGTTTAGTTGGTCTAATAATTATTTGTGGTTTATGAATTGCCCACGCAAATGAAAAAACAATTGAAGTTTTTCCCAAAGACTAATGATTTAGCTGCGACGCTGCACAGATTTTATTCAGTTGCTCTGACCAGACCGTTTGTCCTTTGTTAATTATGCTTTGTTTGTCCTTATGGTCTGACAAATTTGGACTTGGGATGTCCTCTTCAATAATGCTTGCACACCTGAGGCTGAGCTGGCTAGACCCAAATTTCAGTAATCCTCCTTTTTGTATCATTTGTAGAAGTTCATGTTACAATTTGGATGTGGTAGAATATCTACACAAAAAAGTGAAACCTCTTTCGGCTTCATACTTGCATATTCGGTGTTCTTTTTTATGGGCCATATTGTTGTTTGCTTTCGCTCCTTGCTTGGTCATGCTATACCTGTTATAGACTTTGGTTTTCTGATGTGAAAGATGAAAGTAGTCTTGATCCCTAGTCTTGTTGACAACTTTATGCTTCGTCGTAATATTGGTATTGTTAGCTTGTTATGGATTATGGATTATTGATTATTGATTTGAGTGCATTGTTAAATTATATCAGTTTGAGGACTGCATTAAGGACTGTGAGAAGGCTGTGGAAAGAGGAAGAGAGCTAAGGTCTGACTTTAAAATGATAGCCAAAGCTTTGACTAGGAAGGGAACTGCCTATGTGAAGATGGCGAAATGCTCCAAGGACTTTGAACCTGCGATTGAGTCATTCCAGAAAGCTCTCACAGAGCATCGCAACCCAGATACCTTAAAGAAATTGAATGATGCTGAGAAAGCAAAGAAGGATCTAGAGCAACAAGAGTACTATGATCCAAAGTTAGCTGATGAGGAGCGTGAGAAAGGTTTGTCATTAACTTTCATGTGCTTATAACTTCCACCTCCTTGAAACTTTATTATTGCCTGTTTTTATCTGTCTGCATCAAGTGGTTCTGTGACATGTATTTTTACTTATGCCTTCCATGTCTCTCTAGCTTGACTGCTTGTCGATGATGGGCAGGTAATGAATATTTCAAGCAGCAAAAGTACCCAGAGGCTATTAAGCAGTACACCGAAGCTCTGAGAAGGAACCCCAAGGATGCAAAGGTGGGAGAACCTCCAGTGTTCTTATATAGTTGATCATCCAAATGTGTATTAAATGTTGTCTGACATTTCATGGTTTGATTTAGGCATATAGCAACAGAGCTGCATGTTATACAAAACTTGGGGCAATGCCTGAGGGGCTAAAAGATGCAGAGAAGTGCATTGAGCTTGATCCAACCTTTGCAAAGGGTTACACCAGAAAAGGTGCTGTCCAGTTTTTCATGAAAGAATATGAGAAAGCTTTGGAAACATACCAGGAGGGGTTGAAACACGATCGTAGCAACCAGGAATTGCTTGATGGTGTGCGAAGGTTTGTTTATGTGAATTGTTCTACTCTCTGTTGCTTAATTTTTACTTCATGTTTTGTGTAATGCTGGAGAGCACCACTTGAAATTGATTGCAGATGTGTAGAGCAAATTAACAAAGCAAGCCGGGGGGATCTGAGTCCCGAGGAGTTAAAGGAAAGACAGGTGTGTGACTTGCCAAACTTCTTCGTCGGTGATTTAGTTTCTCGAGATTGTAATACGTTATTGAGTTTGTTGTTTCTTGCAGGCTAAGGGAATGCAGGACCCGGAAATTCAAAATATTCTCCAAGATCCTGTTATGAGACAGGTCAGCATAATTTATAGTGTCGCTGTTGTTTCATGGTTTCCTCGTTAATTCAGTTTTATTTTGTATACGCGGTGTATGAATGTCTAAAGTTCCATTGGTCGGGATGTGTTCAGGTGTTAACCGACTTCCAGGAAAACCCCAAGGCTGCTCAGGAACACACAAAGAACCCTATGGTGATGAGCAAGATCCAGAAGCTCGTCAGTGCAGGAATTGTCCAGCTTCGGTAAGCAATGGGAAAGTCTTGACCATGTAATCAGAAAAGAATCCTTTGTCATCCAATTGTACTTTTCAATTATTTGATGTCCATTTGAGTAATTAGCTTAGAATTTTTCACTTCGGAAAATTTTGTGATGTATCTACTGTTTTGGTTTTAATGTTTTTTCATATGTTGGAATCACTCTCTCTCTAAATCGGCATGTCTTATCAATTGGTGGCGAAAATGTTTGCTCACCACCCTATGGATTGCGTCGTATGAGTTTTTAAGTTTAGTTTTCAAATATCTGTAGTAAAGTTAAGAGATTTCCATAGGAAATGGATTAAATTAACGTTAGTGAGGTCGATAGCAAGTTTAGATGATCGTATGCGAAAGCTAAAAACAAACTCAAAAGAACATGAGATTTACATGGTTAGGCGTAAAGCTTACGTTCACGGGTGAAACGCGGTGAAGAATTTCACTATACAAGTGGAGATTACTCTTTTCTTCACCATTCAAATTTCATAAATTACAAACTCTAAACCTAACAATTAGAGGATTAACAAAGAAGATTCTCTCAAATTACTTTTTAACTCACGAACTCATAAATTGATTCTCATCAAATTGTCAAACAGATGAGCCATGAATTGCCACACTCATGGCTCATGCATTTGGCAATTTTGTGAGAATCAAGATGTCAGAGAATGTGGGAGATTCTTCTCCGTTTGTTCAAGTTCTTTACTCGTTTGGTTTAGGATTTATAATTCGTGAGATTTGGGTTGTGAGAATTACATTGTTTTGTATTCTTCATTTGCTTAGTAAAATTTCTCATCGTGCTTCGCCTCTAAACATAAGCCTTTATGCTGGACCACGTTAAATATCATGTTCTTAGTTTGAGATTGTTTATTTCTTTGCTTTCATCTACAACGTTAGCATTTGGTATTTTAATAAAATTCGTTTTTGTTTGCGCATAAAATTACAACACAAATTTATGAGCGGTATCCTTTTTAGAGGAAAAATCACTATAAACTCTCAATGTCTTTTGGTAAAGAGAGAAAAAATGGGGAAAAGGAGAGGAAATAAAGACCCTCATGTTTCTTAAATAATGAGTTGGGACATAATTTATATGGTCCCTCTGATCATACAGTGTAACAAAGTCAAGCAGCAACTTCTTCCTCCTTGGCAGCAAGCTGGTTCTGAATGTGCTGAGGAACAACATCAAACTTAGCTAACTACATGGTATACGATGTACGACCTTTTGTCATGCCCCGTAGCGTACTAACGTACTGAAACATCTCCGCAAGAGGAACCAGTGCATCCACAACCTGCATTAATACCGGCACGAACGATTAGTAAGTGCAACATGATTACCAGTCCATAATACTTCGTCAAGATTCGAAGGTAACAGTCGTGCTATAAATCCTTAACATACCTTGAGACCACCAGGCTTGTCATTAAAGCTGTTGATCTGTCCTCTCCTTGAGTTGAGATCACCAATAACGTCTCCAAGATGTCTTCAGGCGTAACAACTTCAACTTTCATTATTGGTTCAAGCATCTTCGGGGCAGCTTTCTTTATTCCATCACGGAAAGCCCCTCTTGCTGCCAATTGAAATGCCAACACGCTTGAGTCGACATCATGGTAAGAACCATCGAGTAGTACAGCGCGTAACTTGACAACAGGAAAGCCTGCAAGTACACCGTTACTCATACACTCCTCTAATCCCTTCATCACCCCAGGAGTGTATTCTCTTGGCACTGCACCTCCCTTGATTTCACTCTTAAACTCGTAAAGGTCCTGGAAATGCTTTCCCCGTAGTTAACCTGGGGTGCTCCAACATTCGCTTCAACCTGCACAGACCAAGCAATCCCAGTTATGAACATCCAAATCAACAGCGTATCCAAAGCACTCAATTGTTTGAAAATTCGAAAGGAATAACAATTAACACATTTCAAGGAACTATTCAAGACAACGGCCTATCTCAGATAGTCGAGAAAGAATACGTCCCTATGCAAACTGGTTTCAGAAACTCCAAGAGATCACAAAACTGTCCGTATACACACCTTTTATATGCTCATACGTATATATTCATGCATAAGATACAAGCATAAACATGGTTGAGATATAATAGTCCAGACGACACTATGCCAAAACAAGAAAAGGAACAAACAAAGAAAAAAACATCTCGCAATATCTTAAGGATCATAAATAAAATGGACAACAAGAAACATGGAGTAGTAGACACAGACCTTAAATTCTCTCTTGAGCCGATCAACAATAATTTCAAGACGCAATTCTCCCATTCCTTCAATCACTGTCTGGTTTATCTCTTCATCCCTTGGGAAGTGGAAAGAGGGGTCTTCTTGAGGAAGCTTAACCACACCAGCTCCCATCTTGTCAACATCAGCTTTAGTCTTGGGTTCAATGGCCATCTTAATCACAGGATCAGGGAAGTCCATTCGTTCAAGTACAATAGGATGTTCGGGGTCACTCAATGTTTCACCAGTAATGGTATCTTTCAGGCCTGCAAGTGCAACAATATCACCAGCTAAAGCTACCCTTACATCTTCCCTACTGTTTGCATGCATTTCTAGAAGCTTGCCAATCCTCTCCTTTTTCCCCTTGCTTGCATTCAGCACATAGGATCCAGCTGTTAGCTTTCCTGCATAGATTCTCACAAACGTAAGGGACCCAACAAATGGATCACTCATGATCTGAAATGCTAGCCCGGCAAATGGTTTGTCATCACTTGAGGCCCTTTCAATTGTGATTTCTGGGTTGTCTGCATCAGTGCCCTTCATTGGTGGCACATCAAGTGGTGAAGGCAAATAATCCACGACTGCATCAAGCAATGGTTGAACACCCTTATTTTTAAAAGCTGAACCACACAGTACTGGCACGAAATTAATAGCAATGGTTCCCTTCCTAATTAATTTCTTAATGGTTTCCTCATCAGGTTCAACTCCTTCTAGATAGTCCTCCATAGCTTCATCATCCAACTCAACTATGGTTTCTATCATCTCCACCCTGTATTCTTGAGCGAGCTCCAGCAGATCAGATGGAATCTCCTCGTAAACAAACTTAGCACCCAACTCTTCTCCAGACCAAAGTATAGGTCTCATCTTCACAAGATCAATAACTCCCTTAAAATTATCTTCTGCACCCACTGGAATTTGAAGTACAAGTGGTTTGGCACCCAAATTTGTCACTATCATGTCCCTTGTTTGGAAAAAGTTTGCTCCAAGACGATCCATTTTATTGACAAAGCAAATCCTGGGCACCCCATATCTATCAGCTTGCCTCCACAGAGTTTCAGATTGAGGTTCCACACACAAGCATATAGCGCCATCCAGCACCCTGAGTGCCCGCTCCACTTCAAGGGTAAAGTCAACGTGGCCACGAGTGTCAATGATGTTAATCCTATGGTTGTCCCAAAATGTCGTAGTTGCAGCAGATGTTATGGTAATGCCTCTTTCTTGTTCCTGCTCCATCCAGTCCATAGTTGCTGTTCCTTTGTGTAACCAGCGCTGCACCGCCACAAACCCACCCCCCCCCCCCCCCCCCCCCCCCCCCCCCCCCCCCCCAACCACCCCCGGCGCCCCTATTTTATAGTTTCTTCCAGTATAAAACAAAATTCGTTCACTTGTAGTAGTATTCCCTGCATCTATGTGAGCCATAATCCCTATATTGCGATTAGGTCTAGCAATTTCTGACACGACCCGATAACCCGACACGACACGACACGAAATTAACAGGTGTTTGGGTCGACAAGATTACAAATCGGGTCGTTATCGGGTAACCGGATAAGCACCTGTTAAGATAACGGGTTGGTTCGGGTATACACGTGGGTAACACGATACACGATAAGCAGAATATTATTTTTATAATTTTATAACCCTAAAAAAATACTGTAATAATTATATACATTAATTTTACAATTTTATACCCCTAAAAATTATAATATATATATATATATTAAATTAACTATAAAATTTATAATAATTATAATAATTATATATACTATAATAATTATACCCCCAAAATATTAAGTCTATCTATAATAATTATATATATATATATATATATATATATTAAATTTTATAAAAACTATAATAATTATTAATTAATAATTTAATATGCATGATGCATTGCATGATTTTGCATCCATTGAAATTTGATGTGATTTCTTTCCATTCAAATTTCAATAATCAATTTCTTGCCGTTGCCAACTTGCCGCCCTTTTTGAAAAAAAAATTGGAGGGAAAAGGAAAATGTTAAGAAAAGTTGAAAATAAAACAAAAAAGTGAGGGAATTAGGGAAAGATGTTGGAGGGAAAAGTGAAAATGATAAGAAAAAGTTGAAAAGGAAACAAAAAAGAGAGGGAAAAATGAAAATTAATAGAAGTGGTGAGAATTTTTTTTTTTTTTTTTTTTTTAAGTTATTAACTTTTTATCACACACATGACTGTCATGACATATCTCACTATTTTTATAATGACACACGTGACACGTGATGTATGTACTATTCCGTGAACCAGTCAATTTTAATTTATACATACAAAATAAATAGATTTAAATCTACTTAATAAATATATATATACACACACACACACGGAACTTGATTGATGGCATACGAATTCTCCAAAACTAATTTCAACGATCCCAACCGTCAAACTTGTTTGTATATGCTTTGAGATCACATCAACAAAAAATCATAAAAAATAAACATTCAGAGATCAAGTAACGGGACAAAGCTTTTCAACGGTTATAAACGAAAAATCACGATTTTAACGGTTATTTTAACTCCGATTTTGATGATTTTTTATAACTACACTCCTTGACCCTATATGAATACAATGAATGAATTCGATCTTCAATTAAAAATATTTACACAAGTGGATACCACAAAATCTTATGTTATACTTAATGAAAGTATAAATAAACTCCAAGTGTTAGTCAATCTATCGTTTTACGAATTCTCCAAAACTAATTTCAACGATCCAAACCGTTAAAATTGTTTGTATATGCTTGAAGATCACATCAGAAAAAAATCACAAAAAAAAAAACATTCAGAGATCAAGTAACGGGACAAAGCTTTTCAACGGTTATAAACGAAAAATCACGATTTAACGGTTATTTTAACTCTGATTTTGATGATTTTTTATAACTACACTCCTTGACCCTATATGAATACAATGAATGAAT